TCTCCCATTTTCACCCCCTTTGCCTCCCTCCACCCTGTCCTTCCCCTCCTAGGTCTTCACTGCACTATTGTCTATGTCCATGGGCTATGCATATATATTCTTCTGTTGGTATCTTCCCCTCCTCCCCAGCCTCTTCCCCTCTGAGATCTGTCAGTCTGTTCCATATATCCATACCTCTGGTCCTATTTTGTTTGTCAGTTTATTTTGTTCTTTAGATTTGGGCGGAACATTATTTGGTTTTCCAACTTTTCCCCTTGGCTCATTTCAATCTTCCAGGTACATCATCAGGTGAGAATGCTTCAGTGTCTTCTCACTGACCCAATAGTGAGTGACCAGACCAAGCAAATCCGTATTCAATTACTTCCCTCATGGAGGTCTGTACACCTTTCTTACGCTTTTCCCATATGATACTTTCATAACCATATTTAGCTTTCTTCCTACTATCTCCCTGTAATTCAAAAGGCAATTTAGACTCCCATATGGTTGCCATCGAAACTAACAGATGTCTAGCAAATTAAAGCAAAAATTATGACTTATAAACTGCTGATGTATCATCATTCCAGAACATCTTACAATTTATAGTGAATCATAAGATAAGGCTTCCTACTTGATGCTCCCCCAAGGTTCCTTAAATCTCTCTCCTCTCTGCATTTAAGCCCTGTGGAAAGAAATTAGGTACAACATTCTGCCATCAACCCAGGAAAAACCTCCACTTAAAGACGTAATGTAGTATTTGCAAGCACATCATGGAGAATTTGGCCTCATGTATCCAAGGCTGTTCCAATCCTTGTACAGCAAAGAGAAGAAAAAAATAACTTAGTTCTCCCAAGTCATTCAAGGCTTCCACTGAGACTTTTTTCTAACAAGTGACAATTAAATCTACAGAATCCATTCCTCTCATCTCCCTTAGATTCAAAGGGTTATCATCATTACTTGGTGGAAATGATGCCAATGTACTACTAGGCTAAGGTATTCTAGACATTGTAAAGTCCAGGATGGGACTAGTATGAGATAACAACAATAATGATATTCACCATTTTTAAAATATTGAGGCTTGGTAATACATTTGCTCATTGAATCCTTTGGTCTACAGTTCCATTAGATGTTATCATTCCTTTATAAACAAGAAGTTAAAGCTCAGTACAGCAGACAGCCACAAACCACACAACCTAAACACCTGTCCATCAAAAGATAGAATCCCTTTCCTCACCCTCTTGAAACTGAGCAGGCTCCATGCACAGTTTAACCACTGACAGAGATGAAAGTTACAGTGGGCCAGTTCCTGGTACAGTGTTAACTGGCTCGAATTTTCTTCCATTCTCAGAGATAAGAAGAAGCCACGTGTAAGTGCTCCACCCAACAACCCTGACAGCTCTCAGCGAGGCACCCCACCCCAAATGAATCTTCAGTCACTCCAGCCCCGGCCACATCTCTACAACTACAAGAGATCACAAGTGGCAATGGCCCAGATGAGCCTGGTCAAATCACATAACTGTGAGATAGTAAAAATAAAGTTCTGTTTTAAACCACTAAGTTTGGGGGCTTTGTGTTACGCAGCAATAGACCGTAAGAATACTGAGGTAATTTATTTGCCTAGTTCAGAGTTACAGCCAGCGCAAAACATCTAGTAATGGTGGGTGATGGGATGTGAGGGTTCAGTACCCAAAAGAAGCCACTATAAAACAAAACTCCCTTTTTCTTCCTTCCTCTACCCCTAAGCAGCCTCGGGGTTTTCTGAGAAATGTCCTAGTATGGTGACACCCTCAATAAAATCAATTTCCTTCAGGCTTGAGTTCTTGCAATATAAAATAGGGAAAATAAGATTTTCTCCACCACCCTGTGATAACTAATGAGAAAGGAATCTGTACAAGATGTTGACTTTGTTACTCAGAATATCATTACAACTGTTACATAAAAGGATTCAGATTTTACACATGAAATTCTAACTCGAATAATAAAAATATATTTAATGACTCACAGGACTACATTTGAGATTCACAGTGGGTACAGGGGAAAATGCATACTCTACCAATAAGTGAATAAGACAATAAGAAATTTAAAAATTATTTTTTAATGAAAGAATCTTTGAGGAAGAAATAAAATAATAAAGTATCTTCAGACAAGTCTTGGTAAGAGAAAAGGTCTATAATTTAACAAACATCCCAATATATGCTACTTTCACTATATATTAGTGCCCATCTGTAGTATTCTTCTCCCCCAGCATATTGGAACTCAATGGACTCATTCTTGTTCAGAACTAGAAAGAACCTTATAAGTCCTCCAATTCCTTCATTTTAACTGCTGAGAAACTGAGGATCAGGACACTTAACTGAGCAGCAAGGAGTCAAACTGCTCATTAGTAAGAGAACCCAACTCAGTGCTGGTGCTACTATATTTTCAATTTTTATTTTACCTCCAAATGTCTTCAGTGTATTTCAAATTTATTCTGGCATTTCACAGCATAAACAGGAAAGACTTGGAAACCATGCTCTCTGTTATCAATCTCTTCTTCATAACTGTGTAAGAGTCACACCGAGTCTGCTCTTTCTGGCAGTCACAGAGAAGATGATGACTCTGTAGAGAGCACAGGTGTGCAGCTTTACAGAAACAGGCTGCCAAGTTACTGACCCCAGTTCTTCAGTCACTAACATCATAGTCTGAATTACTTTCATCAAATATCATGGCTGCCTTCCTGCTGATCACCACTGGCGATCAGGGTACTGACAAACTAGGAGACTTAAATATGGGGTGATTTTGAAGCAGAAAGCAGGATGGGAAAGGTGGGGAGATGGATATGAGTGGAATGTTTTAGAGAGACAAAAAAGGAAGAGGGGCAACAGAAAGCAGAGTGAGAGAAGGGCCCTTATGACAAGGGCGTCTATGTAACAATTCGGAGTTGGGCAGCTCAGTTAGTTCCAAAGTCTCTATCTGCTTTCAGGCTTCCCATAAAACTCCCCCCAGAGATGAAGGCCTTCAAAATAAGATAAGATGTGGCTCTATTCTGGAACTGTCTATGCAAGCACTTTACAACTCTTTGAAGATCTGCACAATTCCACAGGTTTTGCTACATTCTAATCCATAGAAAATACTAAATTTGCTTCTGCACACTGTACAAAATTATACCAAGCTCTCAGGGAAACAGGCCCAAACCCCTTTATTTCTTTTCTACCTCCTGCTATGAAACTGAAGAGAAAGTCCCTGGGTGTTTTTGTTGCCTGGCAGCTAAAATGTGCAACTTTTGGAAGTGTTCAAGTAGAATCGAGAGGCCTGGGCCCACACCCCCAAACAAGGTCCCATCCCAGTTACGCAGTCCCTGACTCTCAAAGTCAAGAAGTTTCAAGTTCAGATAAAATGAAAACTCCTCACTCAGAAATGTCACAGCCCCCCACTTTTAAACCCTCCCAGCAGGGGTTTGGGGGGGGGAGAAGCAAAGAAAGAAAATAATTTCTTCTTCCTATATGTATAGCAGTGTTTGTAGGGAGGGGGATGACTGCTAACAGAAACCATGTACAATCGCTGGAAAAATTTGCCTGTGAATGATGCATATGATATTTATTCATGTGTCCCTCTCATTATCTTTATCATTCCTGATAAAGATGACACAGAGTGTTCTCCAATCCCTTCCATTTCCTTTTGCAAAACATATGTATGTGACCCATGCAAGATACTCCTATAGAAAATAAAAATAAATAGCCTGGTAATTGTGTGGTAGGAAAAAAAACACAAAGAGCTGTATGGACAGCTATTCTCATAGATGTATATGTTTACAGCAAATGGCCAAAATTAAAGGAAATCAAAATAAATACACCCTGTGTTCAGATTGCCGTGGATTATTGATCCCGCCTTTGCATTACTGTTTATCTCACACTGAACCTACAATGAACAGCAACTTGGAGAACCCCCCCAGACAGCCACCATCTTTACTTTCCACAGGGTGGGGGCAGTGCCCAGGAAGGGATGGGATGGGATGGGATGGGATGGGATGAGATGGGCCGGCAAAATAACACGGTCTTCAAACCGTTTTACCCTGGTCCTAGTGAACTCTTTTGTCTGGTTACGGAACGCGTTTGTGAGATCAAGGAAAAGAATCCAAACAAAACAAAAGAGTAGGCGTCCCAGCCTAATTACCGTAGGTGCCCAGCACGTCGTAGCGCCAGCAGAGCATGGTCTCAACCTTGCGTTCCAGCATTTGCTCTCTCAGTACCCCCAATAAAACATGTCTCTCACCCCTTCTCCTTTGCATTTCCCCCAAAACGGCCCCGCTCGATGTCACTCCTTAAAAAAGGAGGAGAGGCACGAACACATGCAAACCAACGTTGATGGTCTCTTACTACCCTGACAGCAATACGCACAGAAATAAACCCAGGCACCTCACGCGCCACTGGCCAGCCCATTATGCAAAAGGAGCGCTTTCCAGACGCAGGGGGAGAGCGCGCAGGAAACGTTATTTACGTGCCCATTACAGAGCCATACACCGCGGCATCTGCATCCCACACAAAGCCCGAGATGGTGCAGGAAGAGACACGCCGAGCTCGGCACCGACCGGCCGCGGCGACACGGGCCGAGCGCTCGTCCAATCAGAGCCGGGTGAGAAGATGCACCTCGGGGTCGGGCGGCCCGATTAGCCTTCCCTGTTATGACACCACGCTCTGCCCGACATCCATCTCCCCCCGGGAGCAGACCTAATTCATGGGGCTGCTCGTTTCTCCAACTGCCTAGCCCTTGCTTTCACCTAGTGGTCCCTTAAAAAGCCAGCCCGAGGCCTGGGTGCTCCCTCTCCGGCTCGGTTTTCCTCTTTCCCCCTCCCCATTCCTAGAAAGGATGAACTGTGTCTCCAACGCGCGAGCTGGAGGCGGAAGGCAAACGCCTCTGCAAACGCCTCCCCGGCTCCCGCACGCGCCCGAGGGGCTGCGAAAAGTAAAGGCGGCGAGCAACGCGGGGGAAGCCGTCGCCAATCGATCGGCCACCAAGAGTTGAAACCCCAAAGCGCTCCAACTTACCCAAAATATGACATTGAAGCCAAATATGAAATATTTGATGCAACAACTGACTTCAGGACCCTTGTAGTGCTTCCCGGACATCCTCTGGGTTCATGAAGACACTTGCCCCGGCAGCCCGAGTTTGGAGCCCCGGAGCGCTGGTGCTCGAAG